TCTAAGTGACTCTAAGTGAAAGCCCACGAAGCATGAACATAAACCTAAGCCTGATCAATACAATGTCCGGCAGTACAGAAGCAATCAGAAGTTGTGACATCAGTTTTCAAAAGCACCAGGGAAAGAAACATGACTTCGCAGGTTGTGAATATCCGAGGCTGTAGCTGTCCTTCTTTGTGATGGGGGTGCATCAGAAAGTGGGGGGGGGGGGTGATTGTCATGCGCTTGATATCAAGTGTGCGTGGCACAATTTCCGAGGCGGGCTCACAGACTCACGATTTGCCACATCGGGTACCAACTCTCCGGTAATCCCGTATCCGTACCCTCCCGAAATGGCAAGTATGGCGGAAAGTAGGGGCATTAACAATTATCGCTAGATAGGATTTTGGGGCATAGTATACTATAGTTACGTTTTGTCAGGAACACCGGAATAGTAATTGGTAATTTATTTAGGCCTGTCTTGTACTGCTTTCACATCTCACGAATCCACACAGAAAGGCCTCGCCATGGCGGACTCCGACGTACCAGGAGTAGGGGTTCTTCAGCTTCACATGATGGTAGTCCTTGGATCTCAGAATGGCGACCACAGCTCATTAAGCTGTGTAAGTGGAGGCCGGGGCGTGAAATAAAAAGGCGGATGAGTCCCCCAAACCTCCACCAGCTGAATTGCTGGGGGACTGCAGGTCGTAGACTCTCGGACCCCGGCCATCCAGAAGTCCACCTGGAGTTGCAGCCTCGCCAGACCAACAGTAGGAGCTGTTGCATAACTGACTGCGGTGGCGTTACGTACAAGTACAGCAATTCTACTAGGACATCCACGATGACGACAACCGCGACCACGGCGAGGACGACGACTAGTTCCCACCACCTAGCCCAAATCAAAAGCTGCCGTGCTGCTCATCCACCTCCTCCTGCTCCTGCTCCTCCTCTTACCACTACTACGACGAACACTACTGCTACTGTTACTTCCACGACTGCAACCGCGATGACGTCGATCACTCCTCCTGTAGTACTCCCAGTGCCACATGAAGTGTGCGATAAGTTGACAAGATGTTGACAAATCAAATTGCTTGTACTACCGCCCCTACTCAGTCCTACTCTTTACAGTTCGACCAAATGCTGCCAATGTTGCTTATAAGGGAATGGCAAGCACTGTATTCCTAGTACTCGCAATACCGCTCCCTTGCAAATCGACACGAGGCTGACCATGTGAAGCTAGACGTTCGTGCAATACCTCTTCAGTTGGTTTTGAGTATCTTGTAGTAACAGCATGAGTAGCACAGCTGGTCTTTGCCCTACCATCAACGTCTGCTTATACCTCATGCTGCAGCGCTGTTGAGGTACGCAACTACCATGTACAAGAAATTAGGCCGCGAGAGAAGTCCGCTCTGAATGACAGCCGCGATGCCACTCGGGCTCTGCTACCTGCGCTTGGATCTGTTGGAGACTGTCACTGGGGCTGAGGTTCAGGGCTGTTGCGGCTTGAGACGTGACCCATGACAGACCGCTCCTAGGCTTTGAAAGGGCGATTGATAAATGTAGGCTTTAAATATTTATTGCAAGGGAGACTTGGCTGACAACTGAAACCCAAGTCTGCACGCATGACAATGTCGAGCAGGATATATTTCACAATAACCAGAATAGCCACGATAATACAAAGAGTGACACTGGGACAGCAACATGGCCATGGCATAAACCCCACACTAAGGAACATCAGCAGCAATGAAACACTATGCTACGATAAGGCAGGCAACAGCACGGATGATGCCTGCGAGAAGTGCCGATGGTACCAATGCTAGCGATGACTAGCCCAGATGACTAGCCTGGAAGCAGTGCTCAGCATAGCCAATGCAATGCAGTCAATGCCAGCGCCTCATAGACATGGAAATTAGACCGGTAATGAAACCTCTAATGATAAAAAGAAAAGTAATGCATATTTGAGTCACATGATACCAACAAAGGCGGAGTGCCACAGCAAGAGGGAAGCATATGTGGGTGCTCAATGAGCTCGCAGGAGGCACGACCGAAGACGGAAATCCTCGCAGGTTTGCAGCACAGCAGAACCACGCAATCAGCCATGATACATACATACCTACATACATACA